GTGTGGAGGTCAACAGCACTCAGCATCAAAAATAAGATCCGGATTTTCAACTCCAATGTGAAGTCAGTCAGTGCTACTATACGGATCAGAGACTTGCACTGCGCGTCATAAAGAGCACCTCAAACAGACTACAGACCTTCATTAACAGTTGTCTTCGCTCAATACTCAAGATCAGATGGTCGGCCAGAAAAGATCAGCAACAGAGATCTCTGGGAGCAAACCGACACAGCAGGAACCGATTGTGAAACAAATACGAAGGAAGAAATGCAGATGGACTGGCCATACTCTGAGGAAACCATCAAGTGACATCACTAGACAAGCCCTTGACTGGAACCCGAAAGGGAAGCAGCGAGTTGGTCGTCATTGCAAGGGTGACTTGGAGGAGGTTATGTGAAGAGGAAATGAAAGCGCGTGGGCAGACTTGGTGCCAGGTGAAGACTCTAGCAGAGAACCGAACGCAATGGAGACGCACAGCTGAAACCCTATGTTCCTCTAGGAATTAAAGGAAACGATAATAATAATACTTTATAGTTGAACTGATTTACATACACATTTAGTGTCTATATTCAAATGAAATAATGAGTCATGCTGATTTGTTTATTTGACTTTTCAGAATCAGGCGTAATACAGAACCCCACCTGATAGATAACTTCATATATTATTATTTCAGTTCTGCTGTTACTTGAACCTGTTAACCTGATGATTAATTGAACTTTTAAAAAAAAAATCAGTGTGTCTGTGTATATTTGAGGGACATGTAGACTAATTACATTATAAATACTGTCTGTCTGGATTTTGGTTACCATAGTAAAACAAAATCACTACCACAATTCTTATTGTTCTTGTTTAATTTCGTTTAAAAGTGTTCATAAATTCAATTGTAAAAAAAGCAGTACAGTAGTGAATCTCTGTAAATCATTCATGGAGAATTCAAACAAATCCACTTCATTATTGAAACTTGCGCTGAAGATACTGTCGAGAAGGACAGTGAAAGCTTAGCGATTAAAACAACCAGCTCAGAGAACACAATCAAATTACTATTGTTTCCTTTAATTCCTAGAGGAACATAGGGCTTCAGCCATGAGTCTCCATTGCGTTCGGTTCTCTGCTAGAGTCTTTACCTGGCACCAAGTCTGCCCACACGTTTTCATCTCCTCTTCACATGACCTCCTCCAAGTCACCCTTACACTGACGACCAACTCGCCGCTTCCCTTCCGGGTTCCACTCGAGCAATGGCCTGGCTTGTGATGTCACTCACTTGGTGGTTTTCTCAGAGTATGGCCAATCCACCTACCTCCATTTCTTCCTGCATATTTCTTGCACGATTGGTTCCTGCTGGGTTGGTTCGCTCCCAGAGATCTCTCCGTATTGATAATCTTTTGTGGTCATCTGATCTTGAGTATTGAGCGAAGACAACTGTTAATGAAGGTCTGTAGTTTGCTTGAAATGTTCTTTATGACGCGCAGTGCAAGTCTCTGATCCGTATAGTAGCACTGACTGACTTCACATTGGAGTTGAAAATCTGGATCTTATTTTTGATGCTGAGTGCTGTTGACCTCCACACAGACTTGAGAGTAGTGAAAGCTTGTCTTGCTTTGATATCCTCGTCAGTTCAGTTCGCCTGTAGTTGAAACGATGCTTCCCAGGTGTGTAAAAGAGGTTGTTTCTTTGAGGTTCCTTCCATTTATGCTACAATCAATTTGTACCTCAGTAATTTAATCGAGATCATTTTTGGGTTTGAAGTGATGATTAGTGATATTTAGCTTTATTGGGAATACCACTAGCCAGTAGGTTGAAAGTGTATTCACCTAACAAATTTTGAATGACTTATGTGCAGCAGTCCCAGAGTTGCCACTCTCCACGTCGCACACAAAGTAAGAGGAGAGATTAAAGTGAAATTCAAAAGAGAGATAATTAACAGAAGGGTGAGGCAAAAAGAATAACAACAGAGTTTTATTGGGTATGACAAATCACAAAGAGCAAGTGCATCTGCGTCAGCCATTGAGAATAATTTTGAGCCATCTCATAAATTGTCGCCAGCCTTTATTGGTTCATAATCTTGAAGTCTACACCTCCTTAAGTGACTTTAACTAACTGTTATTGATTTCATGTACTGATGCCATGTTTTGGTTTGACCCTCATCTCTAGTTCTTTTCCAATCTGATCCTATGTCAGTTAGCTAACATTGGCCGTCGAGCAATTTCGAGCAGAATAAGATATAACTTGTGAAGTTCACTTCTAGCCGTTACCGAGTTAGTAACCAAGATCACTCACACACACTAAGAGTGGAGCATAAAACGTCAAGCTTTGGAATTTTAATAGCCCTGGTGTTATTCTTATTTTACTGACCTCAGACGGCTAACCTACCCTCCTTAACAGGATTTATTACCGGCTATGCGCGAGTACGTCAGTCGAGATTTGAACTCTGAAGCACATGCGTGGTTGGTAAGCATTCTACAGCTGAGCCACTGATACGCCAGTGTTGTGTGTGTTTGATGGAAGAGAACCATATTACTATCAAAGAGTGATTTTTTTAGTTCTGTAAATCAACAAAGATTTTATTATTTCACTAATAATACTAATAAAACGGTATTTCAGATGAGCGATGTTATTCCAAAAGGCATCATTACAGTTAGTTATACGTGAAAATGTGATATTATTGGAAGTAAAAGTGAACAATATGCATTAGATAACCCAATCACTATTTTATAATAACTAAAACTGCCTATATGATTTAAAATAGAAGTAATGCAGGCGACAAACGAATGTGAATGCCATCAAATTATTCAAGTTCCTCCTTTCATTACAATACACGTTGTACTCTTAGATGTAACTGCGAGAATTTTTCAGTAATACTACGCTAATTTCAGTCGCTTTCAGTTTGATCACGCACATACGCACAGTCGAACAATCACGCCTCACGTGGTTCAGGGTTCGATTCCCGGTAGCCGGTGCACTCCTTAAGATAACACAGACGATAGTCAACCCGGTAAAGAGGGAAGGTTGGACATGAGGCTAGCAACTCTCTGGAGTGGAAACTAAACGCCACAGTTACTGAAAATTTAAAGCTCAAGCTTGAAGCAGCCCTATGTTCCACTCAGAAGGCAAAGGAATAAAACATTTCTAAAGAAAATAATAAGCATAATTGAGTATATCAACAGATAACAAAAGCCACTCTCTGTGAAATCACTGATAACGACAATACAATAAAAATGGACATCTAAAAATTGAATGAAAACAAAAACACGCAGTCCTGCGAGGAGACCTCTTTTCGGTGAATTCCTTTTTCACTTTAGCTGTACAATCGCCTTTGTATACAATTTTTCATGAAAGAGGGTAGTAACAAAAGCGAATTCCCTGACGACCCTACGAAATTTGTGCTCAACAACTCCTTAGTATCTTTATCAGCTAGAAGCCGTGTCTTTGAGCTCGGAATTCTGCGACATCAACTTAAACGTTGACAAACTTCATACACATGCAAAGTTAGGAAATTTAATCGACCAAATGAAAGACCTTATCTCAACTTCCAACGAAGAATTACAACGATCCAAAATGCTGTTACCAATTCCTTAATACGAAAAAAAATATTCGCAGCCACCTAATAAAGTGATACCGTGAAGAATTAAAACATTTAACAGATAACAAATAACTACTAGTAAGTCATCCTGGCAAGGGTGTTGGTGTATAGTTCTTTTGGGCCAAAAAGACTACATGGAGAAAATGAAGAATATATTCTTTTCAAATTTTCTCAACCTTCCAATGAAGGAAACAAAAATGAACTGATTGAGAAACAGCCTACAGATGCCTTGAAAGGGATTAAAACTGAACAGTTGATCAGCTGCGAGTTTATAATCATATCCAAACAACAGATTTAATCATAATACCAAGGATTTACATGAACCTCGATTTCAAGGGGAACTTAACCTGCGATTTCATCATTCTTCTTCAGGAACGCTAAGATTAGTATTATTAAGTCGTCTACTGGTCTGCAGCCGCCTGAACGGCAAGATCTAGCATTTGACCACTTCTGTGTACATATATCAGTTCATCTGTTCCTGTGATGTCAGGTTTATTGGTCATCCAACACGTATCCTATCTAAAAGGGTTCAAGGAAACTAACACGCATGACTACAGAAAGGTAGTAGTGACTCTGTAAGGAATGCAATAATCGAACACCTTGTCATCACTAGTTTTTCTGTCTCAACAAACTCATCCAACAAAGTAATTTGTACAGTGAAGAACAATTTGCCAATGGCAATACACATTCGTCTCCTTTGCAGTTCTGAAGCGCTAGTCATTCAGACAGAGAAACTGGGACTCTGCATCCAAAAGAAAATTACTCATTGTAACAACTTTATTATTTTCTGCTAACTTGACTATGTTTGTTTTATAGTTTTTTATAACTCTTGTATTTCTCTCGATGTCTAACGAAACATCACATTCTCCTTGTCTTCCATATGCACCCTGATTCATCTTATTAGGTGACTCTAATACATTTACTGAACTCCTCTTGTGCATTATAACAACTCGTTGCTTTTCTTATTACTGTTTTTTGTGTATTTGTGGTAAGAATTGTATGTAAATGTGAGTGTACAGTTAATTGTGGAAAATGAATTAGCCTAGAAGAGCCTATTTGTTGAATTACATGCTTCATATCTTCATTAATGTGTCTGTATGTGCGTCGGTGGCATAGCGGTTAGGACGCTCGCCGACCATGCACATGGTCCGGGGTTCGATCCCCGGCCACCAACGCACTCCTTTACCTCGCTAAGCCAGAAATAATGCTGGTGAAGAGGAAAGGTTGGGCATGAGGCTAGCAACCCCATCCTGTAAAACAAACATTGCTACAGAAACTTCAAGCCACTAGCTTGAAGCCCTATGTTCCAGTGGGGAACGTGAAGGAAAAAAAATGTGTCTGTATGGGGATTACTTATGAACAGTCTAGACATTTATCAGAACAATTGGAAAAGATTATCGTCTAATTAAAGTTTTGCGCTTACCTTAAAACCAGAGAACATTCTAGAAGTAAGAGAGCTAGAATGTGATGAACAACTAAGACATTTGAATCTTTACGCCATGCATCCATGAAAAATACACTCCAAAATGAATGTAGATAAAAGCCCAATTGTAATGTATACAGATAGTAATAATCTGGTGGAGTTGGGATGTCGAAGTATCCAACTAAAAAAAAAAAATTAAGATGAAAATAATAATTATATGAGAGAATGAAATCGGTTCATTCATTTATACTGTTACATAGATAAATAATTTTGATGAATAAATGCGAAGGGTAAAATAGGAATGACTACTTATTTCTAACTGATAGTTCTCATTCCCGATGGATATCAGTTGTAGAATGATCTGAAGTCAATGAAAATTGAGCAGCTTTTTTCATTCTAGTTCCAGAATTATTCAGGGACTAATCCGCCTATCATCCAGTTTTAAAAATGGAATTGAAGACCATTAATCAAGTGTCACAGTGACCATGTTACAAATCAGTTCAAGTCGCCACACTCCCTCCTTGTAGCACACTAAGCAAGAGAAGAAAGTAGAAGAACTGCAAAATAGAGACAGTGGACAGAGATATGAGGCAAAAGGAATAATAATAGCGAAGAACAATGTCGTTTCATTGGAAATTATAAGTCACAAGGAGTGGATGCATCTGCGCCAGCCATTGAGAACGATCACTTTGAGCCATATCATCGACTGTCTCCAGCCATTGGTTTTTACTGTACCGAGGACCCCAATCAGGAAGTCTATACCTTCCTACATGGCTTAAACTAACTGTTGTGGATTTCATTGACTTATGAAGCCATGTTTTGGTTTGACCACCACTGGCTCTCTTTTCCAACCTGACCCTATGTCAGCTAACATTGCCCATCGAGGAAGGCGATGGCTAGGCATGCGTAACACATGTCCTAACCATCTCAATCGATGTAACTCCACAGCCTCGTCTATTGATTTTCCCTCATCCTCAATAACTCATAACTATTACTTATTATTATACCACTAAACAAGTCTTACTTGAACTTCAGATCACACATAAGCTTCTTGGAAGAGTCCTGTTGTCTACTCCAATTAATATAATAATAATGATAATAAAACTTGGTTAATTTTTTATGTTTATATACTGGGCTGCCAACCCTATTTAAGGCATGAGGGTTCACAGAACAAACCTTTTCACAAGCTGAACTCTATATGAAGTTAACAATTTTACATTCTGTATGGACAACATTTAATCTAATAACTGATAATTCTTTGAAATTGCTTTTTAGTGGTTCTAAAGGTTAGCTGTGAGAGAAGGTCACTGACGTTCCTTTCTCCCCTTCACTTTATGTGAAGTTTTAAAGGAATTGCATATCCCCACAGAGTTACTTTGTAAGATGGTGAATATATATATCATCGGGGAAAAGGGGTCTAAAGAGAATCATATACGGAAAAAAAAATACGCAAATAGTTCTATCGATGTTGGATTCCTGAAACTTATGTTTACGTCATGACCTTCTTTTAATTACCTCTGAAAAAACAGCGCTGATACAAGTAGTCCTCTTCAGCTTAGTCAGGACTCAGAACTAGGTATGACATTAGTTAACTATCCAGTTCTCTTCCTTTCTAAGTTTGATGTGACAATACGGCTTATTAGCTTATGCACTTGAATCTTGGGTTTGAATCCTGCTCTCTCCCTAATTTAGCCTGAGCAACTGTATGTTACCCAGAGTTTCTCACGTTAGGTGGTATAATAAGGTAAGTAATGTTGACGTTAGGCGTAGAGTATTGGGCAAAGAGGGAAAATCAATCGAAGAGCTTATAAAGTTACATAGATTGAGATGGCTAGGTCACGTGCTGCGCATGCCTAACCATCGCCTCCCCCGACGGACGGGCATTACTAGCTGATATAGGTGCAGGTTGGAAAAGAGTGAGTGGTGGCCAAACAAAAACATGGCATCAATCCATGAAACCCTTGACAGTTAAACTGAGTTAGGTAGGGAGGGAGATGCAGACTTCCGGGTTGCGGCCCTCGGGACTCTAAGAATCAATGGTTGGAGACAATAGGTGACATGGCTCAAAATCGTTGTCAATGGCTTACGTAGATGTATTCAGTCTCTGTAATCTTTCATATTCCTTTCTACCATTACTCATTCTGTTTCACTCTTGTACTTATCTAAATTCTATTGATTCTCTTCTCTCATTTTCTTGTCTACCTTTGTGTGCTGTTTGGAACGTGGCAACTCGAACTGCTTCACTTCGGTGCTAAGTTCTATGTTGAATCCAGACAGACAGATGTTACCCAGAGAATACTCTCCATGTACCAACCAAGGTGATGAGGTGAATTTGTGTAAGGGCTGATCGGGTGAAGCAGGATTCGAGTCTGCTGCTGCTGCTGGAATCAACATAGAACTTGGCACCGAAGTGCAGCTGTTCCAGTTGCCACGTTCCAAATAGCACACAAAGGTAGACAGGAAAATGAGAGAAGAGAATCAATAGAATTTAGATAAGTACAAGAGTGAAACAGAACGAGTAATAGTAGAAAGGAATATGAAGGTTAAAGAGACTGAATACATCTGCGCCATTGACAGCGATTTTGAGCCATGTCACCTATTGTCTCCAGCCATTGATTCTTAGAGTCCCGAGGGCCGCAACCCGGAAGTCTGCATCTCCCTACCTGACTCAGTTTAACTGTCAGGGATTTCATGGATTGATGCCCTGCAGGTTCCTGCAGGTCCTACCATGCCAGGAAGGTTGTTTGGATAGCGGTTAGACTAAAAGCAGTTACCCAATCCAATCCTATGACTTCAAACAAATCACAAAATATCATGCCAGATCGGTCGGGGCCCGGATTAACAACGACCGCGCTTTCTGCTGCCGTGTCACATGGCAGAAGTGATAAATACGCTACTGAGACACACCAAATAAAAAACAACAAACAAAAACAGGCCGTGTGTGACCGGCCTCAAGCAGTTGTCCCCTGGGCTCTGCGGTCACACAACCAACTTCCACGGTGTGGGCAGCCGGGAAGTAACAATCGCCCTCACAACCCAAAGCGCACGCGAAACCTCTCTATTCCTCACTCACCTTTGTCTTCATCTTCATCTCTATTATCTTACCTTCCTTCTACTAATGCAACTCCTCTACTTAATGGCTCTTCACTTCCTCTTCACTCTGTGTGCACTGAAAACGACGGATTCGAATCTAAAGCTCAGTGACTGAAAGTTATGTGCTACAGACAATGAACGACGTATAACTATGTGAAGTATTATCAGCCCTCAAATACTGTAGATAATAGCCAGGTGTAAATGGAAAATTTGATACCCCAAAAATTATTTCAAATGACAAACTCCATTGTGAATGTTTAACTTAGAAAAGATACTTACCTTCAAATTTAACTCCACGAAGAGCTCGTAAAGGATATTGGAAGTCTGTTTTACCACTTAGTAATACAACTTTTAGGCTAAAAAGCCACATTGACAGGAACCAAAAAGCTTTCCAACTGGATTCTATCAGTTTATTAGATGTTTCTGGGGTCACACCTACATAGTGAATAATTGTCTAAAAAATGGTAAAATAAAAATGAAAATAATTATTCAAAAAAGGGAAAAAGGATAGTGACTTATCTTTTATTCACTGAGATCAATGTGATTACAATCTTTGACTTATCCGTAATAGCTTCAAATCATGAAAGATCTTTTCACCAAAAGAAGTGAGTCAAGTATTGCAAAAACGTGTGCATATGAAGCTTGCAGTTTTTTAACACAGTGTTGTACAGTAATATTAACTGATGACGTTTCGAGCATAAACTATTGCTCATAATCATATCAAGTTGATATGATATGACCAGGAAAGAGGGTGGTAAATTAAGAAGTAATATATAGAAAACCTACAACGACAAGTCACAGTATACTCAATTTTTTTTAACTTTTGCACCTTTGAAATCGAAAGGCAACTGTTCGATTCATACAGCCACGATAATCTTCTCAAAAGACACTCTCAATGAGGAGATTACGATTATCGAAGAACTATTCAGTGAAAACGGCTATCCATACAAGTTCGGTGTTCAAAAATATGAACTTGGCGCCATCGCAAGTCAGTAAGTTAACAGACGCAGAGAAGCTCTTGTTCATAAAACTACAGTTTATTGGTGATAACATGAAGCCTGAAGAATGTAGTGATAAGAGGATACAGTGTCACAGAGGTTCCCCGTCGCTTCACAACCACTCCAATAAGCACAAACTACCTAATTTCGTCTCCAATATGTGTATCTATGAGTTTGACTACTCCTGTGAAGCTAGTTACATTGGGCGTACAATTAGACAGGCTCATAATCTTATTTTTGAACATCAACCTGCATGGTTCTGCAAGAGACAAACATTGTCTATTCGTGGCTCGATTTTAGGTCACCGTGTAGATAGTGAACATAAATTTGATATTATTAAGGCGCTTAAAGTTATTTATCGTACTCCGACCGATATTAATTTTGCCTTACGAGTTCGTCATCCATATATAGTTTAAGCCATTGGAATCCACTTGGAGTAGCCTAACCTCTGTGTGTTCTTAATGGAGATGAGTATATACTTACTTTACTTCGGCTATCTCCTACGGGAGGATGAGCCGGCTTCATGAACATAGAGTTCATGAAGTTTCATGGGAATTTGGTACGAGTGATGTCCCCAGAATCGCTCGGCCTTTTGTTTGAGAGTGCAGCTCTAGCCTTTACACAACCAAGTGTGACCTAGAAGGCAGTAGGAGTGGAGTAGGGAGTCCACTATCCATTGGCAGCCGGTGACCGGATGAGTATATAGATTCTTAACCAATGGTTTGCATGCTATGCGCGTTTGTCTCAATCAAATCACCACATGTTCCCATAAAAAGTCAACTCAACAAATATTCATATAAAGAGAAATCTCATTTAATTTAGCAGTAAAGTTCAATTCTGTATTCGATCATTCAACAGATCCGTCAATAGATCGATGAAATTTACTGATGAATCCCGAAAAAGTTGAAAGTCTAATTTACGCAAATTGATAACACTTTTTCAGAGGCTATACCGAGTGCGCAAAATGGAGAGGAAAATAATGAATAAAATATCATTCCTTAAAGAAAATAACTTACCGTGTGAAATCTCCGCTTAATAAAAATTCGTAGAATGGTAAGTAAAGCACCCACTAACACTGCATGCATTATTTGCATAGGATGTATAGCTATGAGGATACGACGCGCGAAGACATACAATGATGGACAACGTGACCAATCAAGACCTAGTTCTTTGAAAGCAATCCATGCCTTTGAAAGCATTTCTATGTAACCTGGCATAGGATCATCACAATGTTTGAGCAATGATTCAAGAAATTCTGGAGGAAATTCTTTAGGATCAGGATCTGGTAACAAGAATGGTATATCTTCTATACGGGATGTATCAGATATTGGATAATACTTCCCAGTTTCTGGATCAAAGATAGTTGACTGACAGTATATTGCAGAATAAAATGTGAATAGCAGAAAAGAAATACACCACTTCTTCGATTCAAACATTAATTCTTGATAGATAACAACAGTCTGGAAGGTAACACGGTAACCAGAAAAGCTGATGATGGAGTAGGTAACTCAGTTCAAAGACGACTAGATACAGGCACTAGATTCACAATAGTCTAAAACAAAAATAAGATTTCATTGTTATTATTATTATAAGTGGAAAGAATCATTTTTTCATTACAGACTTTCCATTATGTAAAAAGAGCAATGAGTTTATTGTAAATCCCAACTTTATATAATAATTATACATCATCATGGGCTGAGATCGGTTAAAGAACCATTGGGAAACTACTAGATAGTACTGGACAGCTGTTTCGTTCAAGTTTAAGACTCTTCATGAGTACCTACCCACCGGGGTTTGAACCCAAGATCTCCCGGTTACAAGGTGAGCTCGTAGACCATTAAACCACTGGGATGGGACCCGATCCAATGGACAGTCCATGAACTCCAACTTCTGTTGATTCACGAAATATCGCGACCACTAGCCAATGTCATCGGTGAATATTTGTCCCCACACTCTTAACCTGCTGGTTCTCTAACCGATGTCAGCTTATGACAGATTCCTGTAACCAATCAAATCTCTGCAAACGACTACTCGAAAGTTATACATCAGATGTCATGAAAATAAAGAGAATCAAGATTAACGCCATAGCCTTTCATAAGTGAAAGAAAACAAGATGACTAATTTTCAGAATGAATAGGAATACACATTATGAAAATCTGTTTGGGAAACGTACAAACATTGGATTATGCATAAGAGCATGGAAAACTACGATAAGGTGGTTGTTAGTTAGTGTGTTACTCAATGGTCAGAGAGTAATAGTTAAAGGGATGTGTTTAACTTTGCTGAAAGATTAACCTTACTCAATTGGAACCATAGAATACAACAACAGAATCGATAATAACTTGATTCAGTCTTAACATAACAGAAGAACAACTAAATAAAGCATCACATAGTGTTATCCAATGGTTTCATTATTCCACTTTATGCTATTCGTTCCCTGGTTCAAACTGTAACCTAATCACACTTTAGCTTGGACTACAACCACTCATAGCATACTACGTGAGAAACTTATACCGAGATTAACTGAGTTTCATTTTTATTGTTCAACAGACAAGAGATTGAAGAAAAATGATAGCAGAATAAAACTAAGAACTAAAATAAAAAGATGCATACGGTTTTTATTAACAATAATAATATCCATTATTGAATACAACCACAAACATAACAACTGGGAGTTCTGTTTTTGGTTGGAGGATTTCATCATGAGCTGACACCAGTTCGAGAACCATTGGAAAACCTGCAGGGAGTACTGGACAGCCAACTGTTTCGTCCCAGATTGGGACTCTTCATCAGTGCGTACCCACTACAGGAGGTTCGAAACCCGGACCTTCTGGTTACAAGGTTAGCGAGCTCGTTGACCATTAAACCACTAGGACCCGATCCAATGGCCAACGCATGAATTCTAAGTTCTGCCAATTCATGACATAGCGTGACCACTTCTCAATGTCTTCTTGGATGAGTTACTACTTCACTTTCAACCTGCTGCACCCTACTGGGAAGCCGTGACCAGATTTAACAAACAGGGTGCTTTTGCACTTGGCATAAAGTGGCATGGTTGAAGTGAACGATCCTTCTACAGTAATAGTACTAGTAGGTAAAGATGCAGGAGGTTATTGGTATAAGCGCTAGTATATTTTTGTTGTTGTTATGATATGGATCTCAAACTCTCCAATCACATTTTCTGCCTATGCGACTATTTGGAAAGCATAATCTAATATATACTATCAAGTTATCTTTTAGACAAAACATGTAACAAGTACAAAAACTTCTTAAATGACTAGATAGATCAATATAAATATAATAATAACAATAATAATAATGAAGGATATTTAAGGCTTTATGTAAGAATACCTTACAACAGGCAAACAAATCTCCTTTAAAAGACAATGAAAACAAATAAAATACTTCTAGTTCCCTTGCTTTATTTTCACAACAATAACAACAACAAAATAAACAAAAAAGAAATAAACTGGAAAAATATTCTGGAAAAATTTGAAAAAAAAACTAACAAATAAAAAAAAGAATGATAAAAAATTGAAAATGCACAAGTTGGCAAAATGCAATTTTCTACTGGATGGTATTTATTTATAGTCAGTCACATTATGAAGATAACTAATCACACTGAAGAAAAAAAATGAAATGATGAAGGGAAATTTCACTATTTCCATGAGAGTAACGCTTCCACCCCTGTGTCAGTCGATGATGTTCCATACGCCTCCTCTTTACTACTCCATCTATACCCCATAATATTTGGTTCCAGTTTGTGGAGTGCTTTTTCCTGAGCAGTTACAACATCTTTGGATACTAAGCAGGACGAAGTACTATTCTGTACACATCCGTCTAATGAGTTATGTGCCGATGATAATGATGATGATGATGGATAGGTAGTCGACGAATCTGATAATGAATCTTGAATTTCAGAAAGTAATGTTAAATAGGCATTTCTTCGTGAATACCAGTTTGTTCTGGGCACATTTTTATCATTATATGGTGGATTAACATCTGAAAGTACTGCTGGAAGTGAACATTTCGACGAATTTTCAAGCTGGTCATTTATCTTGCCTTTTTTAAGCTTTTTTCTTAATGGTTGACAGTTGTCATTAACAGATAACTGTAACAGTGAAGAGAGATCTTTCATCGTAGAGGAATTTATCTCTCCTCTGTTTTGCACTAGCTGTTCACCAATTGCCCTTGTGACATCCATCAATTGATGAACATTTACCGATTTATCATTGGATCTCGGTGGGGATTGTGGTCGCGAATGGGATGTAAGTATTTTTATGAAATAATTATCGAAAACGAAATCATTGTCATAGACTGAAATGAATCGTCGTGGCCTCTCGGATTTTCTTATACTATTCCTCACATTTTTCGAAGTTTCTGTCGGAATCACCTGTATTAAAACAGAAAAATATAATAGTCTAATGAATAAAATAAGAGAATTACATTTCATGGTTTAATGAGCTTAAAAGTTAAATAATTTTGGTAATTACTATGCAACAACAAAGGAACTAACATTCTATAAGTACTTCACTTTGTCCATCCAGTGAGTCAGTGATGCACACGTTTTGATAACAAAGCCACCTTCATATACCTGAGAGAATTGGATGGAATAGTAATAATCAGCCAAAAATTATGGGGTCAATCAAAAAAAAATTTATGTTACGCAGATAGCCTCATTTGGTTTACAAGCCGGTCCTAAACCCAGAAAAAGAGGGGAAGTTGGACGACCCTACACCCTAACCCCAGGAAATCAACTCGACTGCTACAGAAACTACAAAACACAGAAAATATATATTATTCTCAGCTGGGAACTGAGAGGCAAAACGACGCTGGTTGGTGAAAGCCTTCGGGAAACTTATCAACCGATATGTATTGTTTCAACAAGAGCGAAAATTAGCATATGCACATGGTATGTCCGCACGATGTTTGAGGCTTGGAAGGCTGCTCAGATTGCAAAAGAAATGAGAATATACGGTATACTAGAAATCTGTGAGAGCAAATGGAATGGAAGTGGTTTCTTCAGATTGCTAACTGGAAAGTCAGTAAGCTATTCCAGTCACTCGGACGGCAATCACAAGCACACTGAAGGGAACGTGGCTACCCTGATGTCGCTAACACCAACCAAATATCGTGTACAGTGCGAACCAATCTCTCCCACGATAATGGCAGTAAGATTCAATTCAAAAGATAAGAAAGTTACAATTATTCAATGTTACGCTCCTACAAACAATGCAAATCGACAGAATAAGGAAGATTCTTATAGACAAGTGCAATCAGTAATGGACAGAACCCCAACCATGTAGCGGTAGCGAAATTCTGATAGGTGACATGGATTTCAACAAAGCTGGGAACAGACAACATATCAAGAGAATTCATCATGCATCAAGAGGCTCCTGTCGAAACGAATGACGACAGAGAACTCTTCGCAGACTCCTGAACCTCTAGTGATTTGGTGACTGAAAGTAGAGTGTAAAAACTCAAGGATATACACAAAGCGATTCGGGTTTCATCAGATAGACTTTATCTCACTCTGAAAAATGTGGACGCAGTATACCGAAAAAGATCGAGAATGGGAGCACATTAATATAAGTGTAGAACTTGGGCACTGTGGTAGAATGTAATTTCATATTAGATAAGTTTATTTTAGATAGCACACAGCGATGAAATATTAATAACTGGATGACATTTTGAGGACAATTTATTGTTCATAATCATACCAGTCTAGTCACACGGTCCCAAAATTTGTCTTAAATATTTTTTCTCTGTCTCTCCAACTTCCCTTTGTTGTTTGTTGCCAATTTCCATATCTCCGGTATAGAAGGGGAGTATATATATGCTCGGATCACTGTCTATCACTAGTACAAGGAAACTTCACGATCAAGTTGATAGCCTTCAAAGTAACTGGAGACAATCACAAACCGTAGGACGAGAGCTACAAAGGACACCTTTGCAGCAGTTATAAGGAAAAGGCTGGGAACATCAAGCAACACCACTGAGGGAACTTCTGTGGAAGAACACTGAAACTGTCTGAAAGCGACTTGGAAAGAAACCTGCATAAACATCTTGGGCAAGAAGATGGAGCAGTGTAGAGATGAACAACGAAAGTAGAAGGCGAGTACAATTTACAGGGCGCTGAACAAAGCAGTGAAGAAAAGTGTTAGGAAAGATGTGAAACACTTTAAAACAGAGGATTCATACACTTATTCCCCTTTATGAATTTAAATAAAGCAAAAACAAAAGTTTGTGTAGAAAAGTGGTAGTTTGCATGCACGCAGTGACTTGATGAATTGGCGAGCGAGGCGGTGAGACTTCAAGCATCAATCGTGGAACTGCAAACGGGTCACTTCTTTGGATACCCTGAACCGAATCGCCACAGAGTAATCCAGTAACTAGGACCATTTTGAGAGGGGGTGCTTCATACACTTATTAACCTTTGTTTAAACGAAACAGAACAGAATGCAGCTAAGAGAGACATAAGAACAGTACATGAAAACAGCCAGGTGGTTATCCGAGAAGGGATTAAGGCAGATGAAGCCAGTGAAGGGAACCCGATTAATAAAGGTGGGACTGCATCAACACAGAGCTGATTACTTTTAAAGAATCTAGAATCACCCACCACTCGTCCAGAAATACTAAAAGCAGACAGAACTGCTAGTGAACATCCACCATGAGACAGAAACAGGTCTAGAAGGCTCTAAAGCTACTAAACTCCAGGGAAGTACGGGGATCATATGTACTCCCACCAGAAGCACTGAAAACGGACCCAGAGGCCTTATCAGGCATTCTCACACTGCCTACTGAAGGTGTAGAAGGGAGGAAAGGCGCCTGTTAACTGGGAGAAAGGCTATCTTGTCAAACTTTGAAAGAACGGCAACTTAAGCTCTTGCGACAACTGACGCGGATTCATTCTTCAGTCCACCCTAAGCAAAATGCTAAGTCAAATCCTCCTTGAGAGACTAGAGGATGAAATGAATGAAAAACTCCACCCGGAACAGACTGGATTCAGGCAAAACAAATCATGCGGAGAACAAATTGTGACACTAAGTGTCACTATCGACTGTTACGTAGAATGACAACCAACTCTCTACCTCAACTTCATAGACTCTGGAAGGATCTTCGGTAGAGTTGAATGAGAGGTAATTTGGAAACTACTTCGCAAGCATTTTTAGACCTTATTCAACAACTATATGATGCTACATGCCCAGTGATTTGTAACAGGAAACTCAACGAAGCCTTTGAAGTGGAGACAGGGCTGCATTCTATTACCAATGATACTATTAATTGTAGTGGACTAGATCATGTGGCAGACCGTCGGGTGAGAGAAGGCGAATACTTTGAGCCGGCAAGAAGACCAGAAAATCTGAATTTCGAAGACGATTTATTTATAATATCATACAAACTCAAAGACTCACAACAGAAAACCAACAAATTGACAGAAGAAACCGAGAAGACAAAACTTCAGGTGAACATAGAGAAGGCAGAGGTGATGAAGATACTGAAGATCAAATGGCCGGCCACAAAAGGATAAGCAATAAGAAACTTTGACAACAAACCAACCAAGTACCTATTGTTCAAGAAATATGTAGAAGCAAATGGAGGTGAACTCGGCATACTCTGAGGAGGTATTCAAGTGAAATCACATGCCATCAAGTGGAACCTGAATGGAAAGGGACGTGTTGGGCGCGGATTCGAGTGGTATGGCGGTCTTGTGGAGTAACCTAGAAATGACAGTGGAGAACACAGTGTAGTGGAGATGTGCCATTGAAGCCCTATGTTCCACTGGGAACGCAAGTAATGAGTAAGTAATAACAATGTCACCCAGGCAAAGTAGCAAAACCTCAACAGTCATGAATGATTTCTTATTTTGTCAAAATCTAGTTAACAGCAGAATGAAACACAAGAGCTGAATACTTAATTTGATATACAGATAAAACTCGTAGGGTTACTGAAGAGTACAGCTAGACAACTTACATTCGCCTATGTAGTGTAGATCAACAGTTAATGACCTTGTTAAGCTGTGCCATATCTTGATCTGGTCAAGAGATTTTAGCAGGTTATATAAAATTAAAATGGTGAAAACTGATGTGTTAGAGATAAGCTGTAATCTATATGAACTGCAAAAGGTAACCAATGCAATCTGACTTATGATTGGTTTCGTATCTCTAGAAACCATAGATATAAGCCAATAAACTGAATTTATGAATGCAGAAGGGATTGAAAAGCGTAGATAAATGACAATCACAACTAAGAATACCCCCAACCAGAATTAAAGTGAATTACTTGAAATCCCAAAGGTTATAGACATTACAAAGAAACCTGACGCTTACAGTTTGAACCAAGGGGGAAACTCGTAGTTTATAACTACTGGTTTATTAGGATGCGAAGCAAACACCCTACTTCTACAGTAAAATGTGAAGGATGAGAAGGATTTATGGAAACAGACTTACAACATACCTACCTGACTTACGATAAGCTTTATACACCTCGACAAAAAGAAGCAAGATTTATTTATTTAAAAGTGAATATTGGAAGTGCAACACTAAAACACAGCACTGAAAAAGAATAAGCCGGAGTGGGAATACAGCATGTTGAATAGGGACAGACAGAAAATGGAGAAGCCGATATGTTACGCATGCCAAATGACCGCCCTCCTCAATCGACAATGCTACTCAATTGATTATACTATGGAAAAAATGGTAAGATCAGGGAGATGCAAGTTGGCTGCTTGTGGTCCACAAGAAGCTAAGCAAAATGGTTGGGAACTACTGGTTATATACCTCAAAATCATATAAAGGAAGTGTATTCATTCCTTATAATTTGAACACACTTAATATTCAACATGTTGTGGATCGGAGTCAGTCTTAGTATGATTGCATTACTTTCTATACTAATAACAGCAGAAAAAGCAAACTAGTGATCCTAAGTTACATGAAATACTGTTTCAAGACATCCAATTAAAGACACATGATGTAAAGATTTTAACCAGATTGTAATCTCCATCTTCAACAGGTATACATCATGATAAGCTTACCCTTCAATAAGCTGTTTAAAATCCTCTAACAACGAAGTGTGAACGGAATGATAGATGCTAAACTATATTTTGTGTGACATTTCCGTTAAAAGCTGACAGTTTGATTCAACCCGACTTCGTAAGTAAAAGAAAAAATGCACTCAATATCTCAGCTCTCATTTTATTTAACAGGGTTTTATTTTATCTAGCATTTCATTACATAACCAACATAACGTAGGGTTGTGTAACAAATGACAACGCTACACGATAAACATTTGCTACCCTAAACAAGCTTGCAATTTTTAACTAAAACTGCATCACTCCATTACATCATGTAGAAATATGGTGCTACCGAAGTAATTGCAACGTCTTAATTATAATTGGTACTTCAAAGGCACTGGTGCATTCAAATGTCCCCTATTATTTACGCTGATAATAATTTAGATTACTTCCCAAGAATTTACGCCTGAATGAAAACATGCAGCAGCAAACAAACACTAAAAGCATGTAAAAGACCTAGAGTGTGTCCCCTTAAAATCCCACTTTAGTCAGGAAACATGAAAGAGACATCAATTTGAGTAAAAATTAAGTCCACAGAGAAACCGAACAGAATGGACTTCTAACACATATGTACACCAAGAAAATAGGTTAGAGCATATTCTCAGTCACGGTTGTCTGATAAAGCAGCACTCCATGGTAACGTACCTAGAAGCTGTCACTTTTTTTTAACAAGGCGAATCAATTGTCACATTCGAGTCAAGAAAATCCAAGGTAAAAAATTAGCTTTATGACTAAGACATGGTAAGGCTGAAGTGAGATATCTTTTGTAGTAACTGACGATAATATCTGATTATCAGGCTCCTGTGTGATGCCCACTCATTTCAATGAACATAGTTGGAAGTGGTTGTTGGGATGTATATTTGTGCCTAGTATCCCATCATAACTGGGAACCTCAATAACAACAAGTAAACAGATTTATTCACTTGTTGCTCCCCAAATTTCGAAGATTCTCCAGGTTCCCACTTACATAATCTACTACCAGTTTCTTTACGACACATGTCAGTACTCCGCAATTCCTATACGAGAGCCATATAATTCCAGGATCACAATCACACATTCACAATAAATAAGGGAAATCAAGTTAACATAAATTCGCTTAACAGAATAAAACCTAACTTTTTAGAAGCGAATATAATGCCTAGACGACAACTAACTACATAGAACAATAATAATCTGTACGAGAATTCAGTTACCTGGTGAATTTCCCATAGGTTTTCTTTGTCTTCTTCATCATACATCACTCTGGTATTACGTTGTTTTTTTATTCCGGTTTTTGCATTAAAATCCATACTGCTTTGTGAAGCCTGGATAAACTGAACACAACTTATTTGATAAATGTCTGTTGCAATATCAGAAGCTAAGTTGTTTGCGAATTTCAGCTACCGTATCGCGCCTTTACATCCAAATATGAGTGGGTAACACTCTCTACTTAGGTAGAGTTCGCTGAGTCACTAGTCAAGATCCGTCAATTTATATTCTTCTGGATATATGCATTTAGAACTATGTCCTGGTTACTTATTCACTACGTCGCCGACGATTGAATACTCGCCAAGAGCTTACAGATTTGTTCTAAGCGGGAGTTCGATTTGGAGCTTACTATTAGTGTTGTAAAACAAAATTTAGTTTTCAATGTTATGAAGTATCAGATAAAAGGTAAATTTGAAAACGAAGTCATTGCCGATAAAGATTATGCGGAATGGAAAAATAGGGAGTGATCATTACGCTCATTAAGGTTACCAGCATTCAATTGAAAATCACCTACAAATGTTAGTCAGTTCAGCAGTTCGTGCAGCAAAGCTGGGAACAAAATGAAACTCACTGGTGTTGAAACTAAAGCTCACAGGCCTACTTTGCTACTGGATTCTCAGGTTTGACGAAGAATCAGAAATGCAGTTATTTGTATCATATTTAATCCAGAGCATCGTAGAAGCTGTATCCCAGATACCTCAACAGGCTAAGTCCAGACAGCCCATGGATATTAGTGAATAGGGAAAGTTAACCAAACGGATGTTGAGCATATCTATGGCTACTAAGCGTAAAGCTGTTAGAAAGACAAAACGAAGATTTGCAACAACAAATGTCAGCGCTACGAATCTTAGTCGGTAGAGATCAGTGCACTCAGTTGGGCGAACGCGAATGCTGGTATAGGCACTATGTGCAGGACGGAGAAATTGTTTTATACATTGCAGTGTGTTTTCTTTCCGATTAGATCAGAGAATGTGAGGAAATCTGACAGGGTTTCAATGTGTTTTAACGCTACTTATTATTATTGCCTCTGGCTCCAAGTGGAACATAGAGCTTCGACAACACATCTCCACTTGGTTCTATTCTCTGCTGTTCCCTTCAGCTAGCTAGCCACAAGAATGCCCATAATCTCTCGTCTTCTCTTCCCATGATCTCCTTCATCTAGCCCTCTCACCGATGACCCACTCGTCGCTTCCCATTCACCTTCCACTCGAGCTATGGCCTGCATTGCTCGCGATGTTGTTCAACTGCCTCCTAAACCTATGCCCGATACATCTCCAAATACTCCTGCATATTTGCAGAGCAGTAGGCTGTTGATTGTTTAATTTTCGGAGCTTCTTGCTGCTAATTCCTTCCGGTCATTTTATCTTTAGCATGGAGTCAGAGAAGGTTCAGCTGTTGTTACAAGTCTGCAGCAACCTTTTAGAAATCCTCTTCGTATAGGAGAACTGACTGTCTTCAACTTTTTGTTGAGTACATTCCACATCCCTATTCTTATTCGTGCTTTCACTGAGAGAAGACAAATCAACCAGCTGGCTTCCCGAAGGCAGGCTTACATTGGGCCGCTGTGTCATTTCGCTTCTCTTACTAAATCGGAGAATAAGTTTGTCTTTTATATTTCTTGTATTCTAATATGTTTCTTGCGCGTAGACATTTCTGTAGTAGTCTGATTGATTTTGTGGTGTAGGGTCGCTAGCCACATGTCCAACCTTGCCTCTTTACCCGAGCTTGGTACCGGCTATAAAACTAACGAGCTAGTAAACTAGGCGAGGTTAATGTGTCCTAAGTTACGAGTCAATTGCCACGAAATCGTTTGACTTACTGGAAACAGTGTACTGGATTCGTTACTAGATTAAAATCAGCATAAGAGTGTCAGGTCGCATGTGCTGATAGTTGAAGCTGTAGTTTGACACACCATGAATAGTCAATTAAGATCGAACGCTAACGAAACATTGACTTGGGAAAAGAATTACTGAAGCTGGCTGACAGTGTTACCTCAGTGACAACGTCATGAGATTATATGAGAGTGTCACATGCTAGTTCACACTGGAAGGGCCCTAAAAACCGACCTATTGAAGCGAAGAGTACAGTGACCATTTGCGGGGGAAAAGTTGCAAAATAAGGTGTTGAAATGTCCACAGCACCCTTTGACGAAAGCAGAAAGCTGATGATGACGGAACATACTACACGACGGGTAGACGCCGTCGACATTCGGGATCAACGTGGAAATACTGTTACTAAGATGGTGACTTTTGTAGGCCACGGTGTGTCCGAGATGAGACTGACAGATCCAGGTCCTTGTTCTGAGAGTGAAGAATATGTAGTGACCCATTTTATTATTCATCATCGTAGTATACTTTCAACATGTAATTGGACTTCGATTTGTTTATCACTCTAAATATTGCGTGTTAACAATTGATACATTTGTACTCGCTCAACTTTTGAATTTTGATTACGGCGATAATACACGTTCATACTCCTTCTCAAGTGTTTTTTGATTTAGGTTGTGGATATCGAGTAATCACAACGTCAAGACAAAATAATAAACGCGAAAAAGTACTAGGATATACGTGTACGCTAATTTGGTCAAATAGAGCATCACAACAAATACGCATCCCCCCTATACTGACCAGGTACTACGAGATTTAGAACAACACAACACCGCTTACACACTCATGGCTTCTCAGGGTGGAAATAAGCGCGTACAGGAGTGGCTGGTACCATAGAGAGATAGGACAGTCAGTCTTCAGGGGATCAAAGAAGTTCGCCGGATAAATCAAACTTTCAACGATCATTTTTTGTCTGTAAGTAGTGAATTATAAAGGGTAATTTCGGGTTTTCAAAGGAAAAGAATTCAGCTGCAGGATGATAATGTGATTGTGTCTCTCAATACTCACTTCCTATCATCGTTAATAAAAAAACGCCTTCGAGCGGCCGTGCGTGTTATATTCTCGTGTCAAGACCTGCTTGTCTTCCAGGTCAGAAGAGCCGGACTAGAGAGTCAGCAAGTAGCTCAGGTGTAACAGGACTAATGGCCAAACGGCAATCGTGAATGCAGTTTCTAGTTGAAACCAACTAGGGGAGAGCTTCAATTCGTACAAGCAGTCTAACTAACTGGTTTCCTAGATGTCTCTGCTTACTACACTAGTCTTTAGACATGTAATTCTCCCTCATACCATCCTTACTAGGTATCAACAACCACTAATTTAAATAACACATAATATATAATCATTATGTTTGAATATTTGAATAAAAATCAAATATCTAATCAATTCCAAACATGTATATAAATGAAAGAAAAATGTTGTGTGGGTAACTTGATATGATTATGAGCAATAGTTTGTGCTCGAAACATCATCAATTAATATTACTGTATAACAGTGTGATTTATCAAAATAGAATCTTATCCATAATAAAGTAACACTCTGCCACAGTGCCCAAGTCTTATACTTATCAATAAGACGGATAATCTATTAAAAATTACTAATTGCCTAGTTCCCCGAAGAGTGATCGCTTATTTGATGATGACTATTCATCTGACTTGGTGTATAAACAGTATCAGATATTCGAAGTGTGGAGTCTAGAACAGTATTATTGTACAGTTTCTTGGTAAATGTTAAAATGGAAACATTGTATATAACCTCTATTTAAGACGATTCTTTGTAAAGTAAACATAACTTCAAAGTACAATCAAAAATACAGCGTGCTGTTCGACGCTTCATCTTCTCACTGGCCCATACTGTCTGCTTGCCTCACTATTAAACGGGTTGTATCCTTTGGATTTTACAAGAACCTCTCGTCCGCATCCAAGACTATTCTACAGCCGGTGCACAGCTTTTACTGGTAGATAAAGCTGCAGCTGTGAACGCTTCTGTGGATCATATTAATAATTTGTAGCAGCGGACTTTAACGGTCTCACCAAGTAACCAGTAATTCCTGTAACTCGTCAACTGTGTTTTTATAATATACTGTAACAATATTTTTTCAATGATTTGGACTTTTATTCTAATATTTGTGCCGCTACCGAGCTCCCTATTAAGTCCCCTATGGAGGAGCCAGATTACATGGATCTCGATAGCAGTGTGCATGAGAAGAGGGGGAATAACGGGAATGATCCTTGTAAAATGAAGTGCTGATGACAGTTAGTATAGGCTTCCTGTCGAAGAGCAGCTTTCAGGCAAAGGCTTATAACTGACCGAGTGACAGGTTTCAACGTAGAACTTTACACAGATGTGCAGAAGTTCGAGTCGCCTCACTCCCCCCTCCTTGTAGCACACAAAGCAAGAGAAGTCAGTTAAGAGAGTTTCAAAAGAGAGATAATGTACAGAAGTGTGAGGGGAAAAGAGTAGTAATAAGGAAGAACAATAGAATTTTATTGGATATTATAAATCCCAAAAAGTGAGCCTCGTCAATTGATTTCCCTTCCCTACCTAGCATTCGACGGCGGCCTAACCTCAATATGGCCCACCTTACCATGCCATTTAACACGGGATATAGGAGGCAGACACGTATGATGGAAGGCAGCTAACTATTTCATTTCTTCCACTTCCAGTGGCCGTGTCTCTCACACAGCCATAACAGAGGATGAAGAGAACTGCTGAGCGGCACACACGTCTTTTGTTCAACAGCCAGCCGGATATCACGTCTACTAAGCCCGAGATGGCGTTAGTTAGGATATACTAAACGAGCCTTTTGTATCCTTGCTGATATTTTGTCAGCGATCAACCTGCCAAGACTCTCTGATGCGACTTCCCAAATAAGTGAAGTGGTCAACAAGCTCCGTCAACCACTTCACTAGCTATTTCTAAGCTAGGAGTCAATGTAGTCTAGTACAGTCCTGTAGCATCATCTTATATTTGGCGGGAGCGAATCGCATGCCCAACATTCGTAGATTGCAGCTCAAGGTGTTCAGAAGACTCTGAATTTTGTCAGCGTCTTCGCTCAGGTGGGAGGACTATATCATCTGCATATTCGAAGTCAACGAGATTATTCCCTGATGGTAACAAGTCAATCGCTGAGTCTCTGAAGTTAGTTAGGGTTAAGTCCATTAGTACATCTGTGATGAAATTGAATAGAAACGGGGAGAGTGGGTATCCCTGATGGACACCACGGGTTGTTACCACTTCAGATGACAGCTCTTTCTACGTAAGCTCTCACCTGGCTGGCTGCATGAGTTCGAGTAGAGTGCCTTGATCAGTGCAGTGTATTTTCTCGGCATTCTTTTTACAGCCAAACATCGCCAGAGTACCTTTCGGTCGACAGAATCGAATTCCGCCTTTAGGTCAAGAAATATAACGATTGTTGGAGGCCACCGGTAAGTATGCCTATGTTCCAGAATCTGTCGAAGGGTGAAGATCAATAAGATCAATACACCCTCTTCCTGGTCTAAAACCTGCCTGGTTCTTTTGTGTTTATTCCTCCCGTGGACCGCTTAGTCTACGCATGATTATTGAGCCTAGAACTTTAGATACCATATTAGTCAAGCTAATCCCCCTGTGATTATCACAGGAAGACTTGTCTCCTTTCTTGTTAACCAGGATTATCAGTGACTTACACCAATCCTGAGGGACTTACTCTGATTCCCAGACGCTGCCTAGAACCTCAGTTAATGCAGACAGTGAACTGTCTCCACCGTAATTAAATACCTCTGGAGTCATTCTATCAGGTCCCGCTGCTTTGCCTCGTTTCGAACTAGTGACAGCTTTTGTAACCTCAGTTAGAGACAGAGGGCTGGTGTTTATATCTCATTCAGCGGGGTGTCGGGTACATGCTTCTACTAGTAATTCATCTGTTATGTAAGTTATATCAATATCAATAACCATTCATTCTCAGATCACCAAAGTATGCTGCATTCCTTCAGGAAATATGTGAGAATTTAAAGAAGCTGA